CATTAATAAAAGTAATAGCTTCTTTTAAACTATATTTTTTAGACATTTTAATTTCTGAATTTGTAATAGCAGTATTCAAGTACAGAATTTTAAAAATCTGAACACAAAATGTTTACGAGTGATAATAAAAAATAGATTGATTCACTGCTTGGCAAGTACTATTCGGCAGAAACATACATAAGGCAGAAATCTGACAGAAATGTAATTATGTATGTATAAATATATGAATAAGTTATTATTACTAAACGGTAAATGAAACAGCAGATCATCTTCTTTATAGGGGTATTAAAGGTCACTCGATCACCTTGACCCCCGTTATGTCTACAAATGTAGAGAGGTAAGTGAAATAAGATGATTTACATCTAGTAGCGCCACCTATAAAAATTTTTTGTTGAAGTTTTAAAAATCGTTTGATCAAACTAAAATTTTCTTGGAAATAAAATTTCAGCCCAATGAAATAAGAAATAAAAAAGTTGTCGAAGATTGAAAATGCAATGTCTACATTTGTAGACAGGAATGTGTTTGAGGGTTAAATGGAATAAGTGAGTGCACTGAAGATTATAAAATCAGCACAATTAGATCATTCATCAATCGCGCATTTACACACTCGACAACAGTTGAACATGCTCAATCGGAAATCAAACGTGTCACTAAATTACTTGTTAACAATAACTACAACCTAAATCAGATTGAAAAAGTCATTATTCAGGTTAACAATAAATTCAATAACAATAACAACAACAATAACAACAATGATAGATACAACAACATCAACGGCATCTGTAATAACCCTGAAAATAATAGCAACGAAAATAACAATGTCGACACCCATAACAACAACACTAATAATGACAATAATAACAACAAAAAGAAGGATATTATACTGTACTACCGTAATTTCATGTCTTCCTCTTATAAAATCGATGAATTGATAATGAAGAATATAATAAAAAATAATATAATTCCTACAGATCCTAATGATAAAATCAAACTAAGTGTTGAATCACAACTGAAACGTAGTCATGTCATATATAAATTTTCCTGTCCAGTTGACGATTGTATGCGTCTAAAATCATCATATATCGGCATGACTACCACGGATTTATCACGGAGATTGACGATGCATAAGAGAGAAGGTGCCATTAAAACCCATCTCCTTGACAAACACAACACAACAATCACCAGAGGTATACTAAATGACAACACAACCATCATCTATAGTACCCAACAATATCAAAATCTTAAACTCGCTGAAGCCATTCTAATAGAAAATGCAAAACCTACATTGA